GTAAGAAAACATTAATTTGTGCAATCACCTTTCTTCCTTACATGGACTTTCCTATGGACTCAAGCAAGTGTTTGAGCTCAGCAACTTTCAGTTCCTCTGCTTCTCTACCTGCACTAATAATGCACTTCCAATTAACGCGCACCCCCCTCGGCCGTATGTTCAGTAATGTTCTAATTATTCATTTTTGAATAATGAATATGTTCCATTTACTGTGTGGGTTGGATCATAGATATTATCTCTAATATCTATGGTTGGATATACGGTACTAAAAAGCTATGAATATACTTAGCACGCATATCCTCTATTGACTAAATTTTGATCAAGTTATAGTATTATGTATTGCCACCAAGCATTCCCAGTAGTTTACCTTGTTATTCTTTGTTATTAAATCAAGTGATGCCTTCATCCTTTGTCTTGTTCTTTCTCTCTTTTCTCTTAACCTTTCATACAGTTCACTACCTGTGACCAGTATAATAACAAGATAAACTGGTTTTCTTCTTTTAAACAGATTTCCTTACCAGCTAGTGTTTTGATACCAAGGCAACGATAAGTTTGAAGACACTTGATTCTTCTAATCAACCTCTTTTCATCTATATAAACCACACCTAAATAACACCAGACAGTATCATTAATTTACTCAGAAAACTCTGTGTTAGTTTTTCGGTTGTCTCTGCATCAAGGAACCTTGCAAAACGTCTCATTAAAACTCTAACAGACCTAATGTGAATGTAAACAAGAGTAGCTACTCTTGATGTAAACAAGTGCATTTACAAACAAACAATACACAACAACAATACAAACAAACACGCTAGAGGTAGTACATGTACTTACTGTTCTTCATTAGACAACAACCTTTCTCTACCTATTGATAAAAAGTTATAGTAATGATGTGCTGTTTTAAGCATCAAGTGGTTTCTGTTTTACATAATATTAGTGATGTTGTGATTGTATTCATTAAGGAAAATAGGAAATGTTCCTATTTCAGAGGTGTATTTTAGACTGCATTGTAACTAACTGTCCTAATAAAAATGTCCTAATTTATTAGTGTTCACAATAGCAGGTTTGACTGCATACCGTATAGCTGGTTTATTTCGTGTGGAATTAATTTTCGTGCAGGCTCAAATCCACTAAAATTAATTCCACTAAATTTTATTAAAACCAATTAAATATTAACAAAAATTTAGCAAGGCACTAAAATTAATTCTAATAAAAATTTAAGCAGCAAAAATTTGAGGCCACGAAATAAACCAGCTATACGGTATGTAGCCTCACATATCACATGATGATGACAGTCTCTACCTGTTTACTCATTACCTAATATCCTGTATACATCAATAAGTCCATGCTCCCTAATAACACTGATACATACAAAACATAATTAATCATTAACTACTCCATCAGCTAACCTCTTCCTCTTCTCTCTCTCCTTCA